TTATTTTGATATATCACAGTGAAAGATTTATCGTCCTCTTTTTTTTTTTTTTTTTTTTTTTTTTTTTAAAAAAAAAAAAAAAAAAAAAAAAATCAAACCAAATATTTTTTTAAATCTCATTGTTAAAAAATAAAATAATGCCTTATAAATGGAAGTGTAAATAAAAATACATTTTTTCAATGCTGTTTGACATTTATTCCTTAATATAGACAATTATGGTTATTTGACCTGGGAATGGACAGAAAGATTGAGAGGTTACACTTACCCCTTAATCTTTGCAAGCATATATAAATTTTTGCATCTTTTGGGGAAAGATAATGTTCAGTTGCTGGTAAGTTTAAATAAAAATGATAAAAATACTTGTTAAATCCTGATTTATTCCTTTTTGAAAGGTGACTTGGTACTAAGCAAACAACCTTCCTGCAATCATGAAGTTTGTTTTTAAATAAAAGACTGCTGTTGCTAAAGTCCAGCCATATCTGGGAAGCCCAGAACACCAAAGACACTGTGATGTATATCCAATACTTTTTTGGGGGGGGGGTCTTTTTGAGACAGGGTCTCCCTGTAGCCCCAGCTGTCCTGGAACTCACTGTGTAGACCAACCACTATCATGAGGACTAGACTTCAATTCAGATCTCCGCACCCAGGTAACGAGCTGGTTGTACCTGTAAACACCTATAACCCCAGCTCTGGGTGGGCAGAGATGGGACAACTGCCAGGACTTGCTGACCTCAGCCCTGCCAAGACACAATCCCCAGGTTCAGGGAAAGACCTGCCTCAAGAGGAACAGACGAGTGATAAAGACACATTTCACCCTCTTCTGGCATCTGTGCATGCGCACAAACATGCAACCAAGTGCATGAGCATGCACTCATACATAGATGTGCACACACACAAATGAAAAAAGCTTGGAAGTATCCTGCTGTGAGGAACTGTTTTAAGATAGCTTAATTATATATTATTTGGATTTTTGGAAAATTTGACAAATTCTTTAAAAACATTTTATTTTTTTGTATGCCTGTGAGTATATTGCCTGCATGTGTGTAAGTGCCCACAGAAATCAGAAGGTGTCAGATCCCCTGGAATGGGACTTGTGACAGTTGTTAGCTGCCTGTGGGTGCTGAGAATCAAACCAAGGTCCTCTGCAAGAGCAGTCAGTGCTCTTAACTGCTGAGCCAACTCTATCCCCTTGACAAAAATTAATGACCCGTGTAATCAATGTGGTATGTAGTAATTAGTAGTAAGATTGTAATTTGTAGATGATGAATTACTCTTCTTTTGGAGGGAGAGCTAGCAAGTTCTGAGCTACACCCCCACCCTCAGGGTCTGTTGGGCTGCAATCAGATTGGACTCTGACCTCCAAGTGTGTTTGGAGTTTTGAACTTTTCCATTTTCAGTCAGGGAAAAGCTGGGACTCAGTAGTCCAAAGAAGCTCAATTCTGAGAGTGCTGTGTGGAGCCTAGAAAGACACTGATGATGTGGGAGTATTTAAAACGGTTGTGCCTTCCCTTCTGCGGTGCTTGATCCTGTGACTCCTAGGGAACTGATGATTTATACTGAGATAGTTATGGGGAAGGAGCATTCAGCAGTAGCAGTTACCCCCATTGATTTGGGCTGAATTTAGAGGCAGTGAACTCACTTCTCTTTCAGAATTAACTAACTTCAAGATTATGTAGGGCATCCGTAAGTCTGGAACTACAGGCAAAACTGCATAATATCAAAAATCTCTTTTTATCTCCAAAATAGGTTAGATTGCAAATGAAGTGGTAGACAAATTTCCTATCCTCCAAGACCTACCTGTTACCCTCAACCTTTAGTGAACCTATCAAAGTGCTTTGTGATTTAAAAGAAAATCTTCCCTGACCTTTTCCCCACCTTCCAAAACAATCCAGACTTGCTTTTGGGTTGGTGGCTAGGCAGTACATCACAGTGAGAGCTCAAGGCAAAAGGAGGTGTTCATCTCACAGGGTCCAGGAAGTGAGAGCAGAGAAAGAGACCAGAGTCCAAAGGTCTCATCCAGCACACATTGCCAGAGATGTAGCTTCCATCTGCTAAGCCCAGCTCCAGAAAGTTCCACCACCTCCAAGCAGTGCCACAGACTTGATTAAGCCCTCAGTACATGGGCCTTTGGGGAACATTCCATATCCAAACTATAGCAGAAACCCCTCAGAAAGTTTTTTCCAAAGTAGAGGCAGGGTGATCTCTAAAACTGAGCCCAGCCTGGTCTACATAGCTCCAGGCCAGCTGGGGCTACAAGGAGACCCTGTCTCAAAAAACAAGCAACAACAAAAAAGTCTTGCCCCAACTGACCATTTCCACTTACTAACTTGATAATGATAGTGCCCTTTGGACACCTTGTGCAGTTCACTAGCATCCATCTTAGAATGTGGATCTCCAAACAACACATGCAGAAGGCAAGGACAACTAGTTGAGAATGAAGTAAGAGCAGCAGATGTGGGACACACCTAGAATCCTTGCACTTAGGAGGCAGAGCAGTTAGGCCTTCCAGGGCAGCTTGGGCCTCATCAGACCCAGTCTCAAGAAATCAAACAAAATGGCAGGGCTTTTAATTTCATAAAAAAACTGTACTGCTCTAAATGCCCAAAAATTCATTTAGTTTTTTGCTTTTTTGAGATGTTCTTACTATAACGTGCTGGCTGTACAGTAATGTTTCGTCCCTGGCTAGCCTGAACTCATCGCAGTCCTCCTGCCTCAGCCTCTGCGCTAGAGTTGCAGACCTGTGTCACTACACCCAGCTTCATTTAGCATCCTCTGCGGGCCCATGCTAAGTGTGCAGCCTAACTGGCATGCTAGCAGCAGCTCTCAGAGCCCTGAAAATGAAGCTTATAGGTCCCAGTAGAAAGTAGCAAGGTGTGGACACAGGTGCTTCTGCTGTTTTGTAGGACACCGTTTAAGTACTGTGCCAGGTGCAGTAGCACACACCTGTAATCCCAGCACTCGGGGATGCTGAGCCAGGAAGACATCAAGTTCAAGGCTAGACTGGGCTGTATGGTCTCAAAAAAACAACAAAAAAAAGTTCCTATAACTCGTAAGGAAAGTATTTATATTCATACTGACAAAGAGAAACTAGTGTTAGAAACCACTGGCAGCTGACAGCTTAATTTGTAAAATTAATACAGTGAAAAATTTACCTGTTTTTTGAAACATGTCTCTTGAACAAACCAAGAGCAAATTCTGCTGTGCCACTGATAACTGTGATACAGTAAAAACAGGTGCTGGTGCATGGCCTTAATGTTTTAACTAATTTAGTTATGGGACCTTTCCACTTTCTGAGTTTGGGAGAGTGTAGTGTTGGGAATGTAACCTGGGCCCCATGCGTGCTAAGAAGGTACTGTACTTTGAGCCATACCTCCAGCCCTTTAATTTCTTTTGGTTAAATCTTTTTTTGAGACAGGTTCTCCCTTAGCCCCAGCTGTCCTGGAACTCACAGAGATCCGCCTGTCTCTACCTCCCAAGTGCTGGGATTTAAGTCGTGCACCACCACACCTGGCTTCTGTTAGCTAAATCTTAAATTTATTCTTTTTTCTAAATTATTTTTATGTGTATGAGTGTATTGCCTGCATGTACATAAATGCACCTGTGTTGTACAATGCCTATGGAGGTCAGAAGAGGGTGTCTAATCCCCTGGAACTGGAGTGATGGATGGTTGTTAGCCACCATGTGGGTGGAACCTGTGTCCTCTGCAAGAGCAGCAAATGCTCTTAACTGCTGAGCTGAGCAATCTTTTTAGAGGACTAGGGGTAGGGTATCAAGACAGGGTCTGATGTAGCCCAGGCTGGCCTCCAACTTGCTAAGAAGCAGAGGATGACTTTGAATGACTAAACCTCCTGTCTCCACCTTCCAAGTGGATTAGGATTCCAAGCATGTAGAATTATGGCCAGCATACATTCTTCATGTGAATTACCATGATTGTAGAATTATGTGTGGGATTTTAAGAAAAGTTTAAAGATTTATGTTATTTGTGGGGAGAGGGGGCAGCAAGCACTCTTAGCTGCTAAGCCATCTCACTAGCCTCGGATTTTTTTTTTTTTTTCTCTCTTTGTAATTTGTTAAGAGCATGGGCTCTGGTGCCAGGCAGATCTCAATTTGCATCCAGGCATCTATGCTAACTAGCTCTGTATCCTTGGGAAAATCACCTACCCCTTCTGGGCCTTGATCCTCTCATTCACATTCAAGCACATGAATGAATAAGGAGGTGCACAGATGGCTTTCAGTTGATGATGGGTTAGCTTCTTGAGTAAACTTTTTGGCAGTTCAGTGTGAAGCAGGAAGAAGTGTGTAACGCCACCTTTTTCTTTTTGCCCAATGAAGATCTGGATTCCCAGACTTGGCCAGGCTCTTCTGTCTGCTGTAGCAGATATTCGGCTTTACTCACTCATGAAGCAGCTGGGAAACCAGGAAGTGGCAAGATGGGTGGTGAGTCCTAACATTCTAGAAACTGTGGTGTTGAGAATGCAAGGGGAAAAAAGTGTTCCTAAAACAATTTTAGAAACAATTCTATAGAACTTTCTGGAAATATTTCCATAATTAAGAACAGTAAACTCTGGGTTTGGAGAAATGGCTCAGTGGTTAAGAGCACTTGCTCTTGCAGAGGACCCAGGTTCAGTTTCCAGCACCCACATGGCAGCTAACAGTCCTGGGGATCCAATACCTTCTGACCTCCATGGGCATTGCATGACATGGGTGCACTTAGATGCAGGCAATACATTCATACACATAAAATAAAAATTAAATATATATTTTAACATAAAAAAATTTTTTTAAAGCCAGATGTCCATGCCCTTAACCAGCACTGGGTAGGCAGAGGCAGGCAGATGTCTGTGAGTTCAAGGTCAGCCTGGTTTACACAGCCAGTTTCAGGTCAGCTGGGGCTACAGAGAGACCCTGTCTCAAAAAGACATAAAAATTAAAAATAAAGCTGGCGCACGCCTTTAGTCCCAGCACTTGGGAGGCAGAGGCAGGCAGATCTCTGTGAGTTCAAAGCCAGCCTGGTCTACATAGTGAGTTCCAGGACAGGTGGGGCTATAGGGAGACCCTTTCTCAAAAAAAGACCAAAAAATAAAATAAAAAATAAAAAGAACAGTAAACTCAATATGGTCCGTGCCATCTTCTGAGCCACAAGTCATAGGCAGGCTAAGCCTGGGAACCAGCTTTAAGAAGCCCTTCACATCTCTCTTGGTCTTCAGGATTGCTAATTCTAAATCATACCTGCCTCATAAAGCTGCTTTTACAAGACTGTTCACTGTTCCTCCAGCTCTGGGGCTCTGCCTGAGCACAACTTTGCACTGAAATGCACTTTCAGCCCTGATTGGAATGTCCGAGATTGCTGGGCTTTATGAGAGAGAGAGAATATGGTGTGGAAAAGTGTCTTGTGTGGCTTCATTCAAGATGGGTTCAAAGCTTCACTAGGTTCTTCCATCTAAACCATATCCTGAGGAGTGACTGAATTGTGGACTACTGTTTCTCTACTCAACTCTCCAGAATTAAATAAGCTTACATGAACCAGGCTAGAGATCTACCATTTCTATTGTTCCTATTGGAATACACTCCTAATTTCAAGCAACCAATGTAAAATAGAACACATTACTGGAATACGACATACCAGTAATTAGAGAAAGGGCATATTTGTGCAAGCACTGTGTTCTTTTACATTTGAAAGATGTTATTTTATGTGTCATCTGTATGTAGGTGCCCCTTCTGAGGCCAGAAGAGAGTGACAGATCCCTTGGAGCTGGAGTTACAGGCACACAATTTGTGAGCTGCCTGATGTGGGTGCTGGAATCTGAACTCCTGTCCTCTGATAGAGCAGTAAGTGCGCTCTTAACCCGTGAGTCATCTCTGCAGCCCCTATTCTTTAACATTTTAAAAAGGAGATAGGTTAACTTAGTGACAGGTCCTTGCTAATTCCCTGAAGAAGCCCATACTCATCCTGTCAGGTGTATTTTAGTCTCTCAAAGCATCTTTTTCTCAAAACCCCTGTGCTTAAGAACTGTATTAGTAGTAAATCTCCACTCTGCTTCAAAAAACAATAAAGTAAAATAAAGTCAGGCATGGTGGTGCATGCCTTTAGTCCCAGTACTCAGGAGGCAGAGGCAGGGGATCTGTGCGTTCACTGGCCTCTGTAATGAGACCCTGTCTCAAAAACAACCACCAAAAAAATAAAATAAAGTCAGTATGTTTATTTGGTTTTCATATCTTCCGTGCATTGCGAAGTGGCTGGTAGATCACGGCCTGCCTTTAAAATCCTCCAGGAGAACAGCCCTAGGTTCTGCTTGGTTAAGAGAATCTGTACTTGATGAAAAATTGGAGCATGCTTTAAAGAACAGTCAGAAGAGGCCAGGTGTGGTGGTGCACACCTTTAATCCCAGCACTTAGGAGGCAGAGGCAGGCGGATCTTTGTGAGTTCGAGGTCAGCCTGGTCTACATAGTGAGTTCCAGGACAGCTGGGGCTACAAGGAGACCCTGTCTCAAAAAGACAGAAAAAAAGAAAAGAACTGTCAGAAGAGACAGAAGCTACTTCTATCACATTGTAGACTTACTGATACTTTCATTTGCATGGTCTTCAAAACACTGATTTTAATGCTTCCAGAAAAAAAAGAAAAAAAATTTAATGCTTCCTGTTAATTTTTTTTTCTCCTATCTTAATTTTTCACCAAGAACTATGGGAACCAGGGCTAAGGCTCAAAGGTAGAGCACTTGCCTAGTATGTATGAAACCCTGGGTTTAATCCCCAGTACTGCCAAAAAAGGAAAGAGAAAGAAATATAGGAGCCAGATGCTGACTAGTTCAAGGCCAGCCTGGGCTACATAGCAAATTCTAGGTCAGTCTGAGCTACAAAGCAAAACTCTGAACTTAAAATTTTAATATATATATAAAGTACTCAAAATAATTTGGTCAGTACTATAAGGTGGGATGTGGAACACTGGCTGGAATGATCTAGTTATGAATTTCAGTGCTCCAAAAATTCTACCATCTCTGTGTTAGATCTTGTATAATGGAGAGTTAAATGCTTACCATAAAAAGCACCTGAAGTATAAACTCCTGCTATTAGCATACAAATCTGATGTCATAATGGCTGTGTACATTCTTTTTTAAAAAATTTTTATTCATTATTTTATGTGTATGAGTGTATTGCCTGCATGTACGTAAGTGCACCCATGTCATGCACTGCCCAGAGGTCAGAAGAGGGCGTCGGATCCCCTGGAACTGGAATGAGCCAAAAGTTGGTACTGGGAACCAAACCCAGGTCCTCTACAAGAGCAGCCAGTGTTCTTAACCACTGAGCCATCTCTCCAGCTCCTTGATGTACATTCTTGACAGGGAAATGCACTTACCTTTGATGTGGTTTTCGCCATATTTACACTCATTTGCTGTTTTCTAGAGAACATAATAGTAAGCTCTTCTGCTTCCTATTTCAGAGGTGTTTGCTCATAACTTGTCTTAGTTTTTTTGCCAGTTGTGCTCTTGGTTCACATGGTATTGCTGTACCAGAACCCTCACAAACACCATGGAAACTGCTCTTACTGTCATTGCTCTCTTCTACTATCCTTTGGAAGGTTCAAAGTCCAGCAACAGGTGAGATAAATATTGTTATTAATAATTATGTACAAATCTCTAAGACATGCTTTTGAAAAATATTAGGTATCAACATGTAATATCCAGAAGACCCCCAGATGTTCACAGTAGTTATAAAGGTTTTCAATGACAATAAACAGAATACACTCAGAATGGATGGTAGATCTAATGAAAGCACTGTTTACAAAGTGTGGACAGGACTTAGGAAATGCTTTAGTACCCCCAGATCATTGCATCAGAAGTCTAGTAAAGCTAGAGGAAAGAGATACTGCAATCCTTATAAGGGGAGGCAGACACAGGCAGTCTTTAGAGAGCAAGTAATGTCCAGGAGAATCAACTTTCCTGACCCACACTTCTCCTGCCTTCCAGTTCCCCAAAACCAAATAGAAGCAGAAAGTAAGGTAGGCCTTAAGTAGTCCCTGTAGGTCAGCAGGGACACACAGACCAGGTAATCAGTAGAGGGGAGCAACCTGGAAGGGCAAGCAAAGAGAAAAGCAGGAACTATAAAGGGCCTCAGGTATTCAGGGCAGGCTGTCTGGAGTAGCTAGAGTGTAGAGGGCCAATGGAAGGAGACAGTGAGGCTGGAATGGGACTTTGCCCTTCTCCACACTTTAGGTTTTATTCTATACCCAAGATCAGACATGATTTTTAAAAATATTTATTATTTTTATTTTATATGAATGAGCATATTGCCTGTATGTCAGTACACCCATGTTATGCCATGCCTCTGGAGGTCAGAAGAGGGCATTTCCCAAGGAACTGGAGTTACAGATGGTTGTTAGCTGACAAATGGGTGCTGGGAACTGAACCTAGGTCTTCTGCAAGAATAGCCAATATTTTTAACCACTTAACCACCTTTCCACCCCCCAAATGTGGTTTTTGAAAACAAGTCAAATCTGATTTCAGAATTCTCTTGTAGTAGGAGTTTTTAGGATGTATTCAAAGGGAGAAAGCCACTTCAGAGTCCACCAACAATGCTAGTGTCTATTCTCCCTGCAGAAAAGGTTTTTGGGTAAGATCATTTCTGCATTAAGCTTGGCTTATTAATATATGATGAGGCTATTACACAGCTAAACATGAAGATACAGAAAATGGACATCCTAGTCTCCCAAGCCTGGGAGAAAACTAGACTGTCTCAGTAATATAACATAATTAGGATATATAGACTTGTAAGTTGTGGTATTAAATTTTAATATACTTTTCAGCATATACAATTAACATTAGTAAACCTATGGGTTTATTTTTTTTAATTTTATTCATTTTTATTTTATGTGTATACATGTATTGCCTGCATGTAGGTAAGTATACCCATGTAGTGCAATGCTCATGGAGGTCAGAAGAGGCTGTCAGATCTCCTGGAACTGGAGTTATGGACAGTTGTTAGCTGCCATGTGGGTGCTGGGATTTGAACCTGGGTCTTCTGCAAGACCAACCAGTGCTCTTAACTGCTGAGCCATCTCTCCAGCCCCTAAGGGTTTACTTCTTACTTGGACATATTAAACTAGGCTTGGTGATACATGCTTGTAACCCCAGCACTTGGGAAGTGGAGGCAGGAGGACTGAGAATTTGAAGTTAGCTTGAGCTACATAAGACCTATCTCAAAAAATGCAAACAGGGCTGGAGAGATGGCTCTGTGGTTAAGAGCACTGGCTGCTCTTGCAGAGGATTCAGGTTTGGTTCCCAACATCCACATAGCAGCTAACAACCATAACTCCAGTTCCAGGGGGTCTGATGCCCTCTTCTGGCCTCCAAAGGCATCGCATACACATGATACACATAACGTGCATGCAGGCAAAACACTCATACACTAAAATAAAAATAAAATTTTAAAACAAATAAAACTAAACAGTAGAAGGTTGTATCAGTGTAAATTGTTTTCCTGATGACAGCATTTCCTTCTTTCAGTGTCAAGTACTCGTCCCTGGTTGCACTCGCCTTCATCATCCGCCCCACAGCTCTCATCCCATGGGTACCATTACTCTTCAGACATTTCTACCAAGAACGGAGAAAGCTTGATCTTACTCTACATCATTTTTTACCTGTAGGGTAAGTATGGTTATGGCCATGGCCATCTGTAAATTTTACTAACCTGTAAATAATAGATTATGAAAAAGATTTTGCTGGGTATGATGACACATGCCTTTAATACCAGCACTCATGAGGCAGAGGTAGGCGAATCTCTGTGAGTTCAAGGCAAGCCTGGTCTACGTAGTGAGTTCCAGGTTAGCTGGGGCTATCGGGAGACCCTGTCTCAAAAAGACAAAAAAAAAAAAAAAAAAAAAAAAAAAAAAGAAGATGATTTTGTATCCTTTAGCTAATTATTATATCTAATGTCACAGAACTCTCAGTCCAAGAAAACAGAATACTTCCAACTTTATATTTTCTGTTTTTAAATCTTATTTATCATTGTGTGTGTGTGTGTGTGTGTGTGTGTGTGTGTGTGTGCACGCACAGGAACATGTGTGGGGGTCAGAGTAAAACTTTGTGAGGTTGGTTCTCTCTTTCTGCCTTTACATGTTACATGGGTTCTGAGAATTGAATTCATGTTGTCAGGCTTGCATGGCAAGCACCTTTATTGGCTGAGCCACCTTGCCGGCCCCACATTTTCTAGTTTTATATTTATGATACTGATTAGCTGTATTGTAATTTGCTTAAATGAGGGTCTCTGTTATTTCTCCATGTTTATAAAAATATTTTTATTTGTTACTTTTATTTTTTATTTCATGTGTATGAGTGTATTACCTGCGTGTGTGTAAGTGCACCTATGCCATGCAATGCCTTTGGAGGTCAGAAGAGGGTATCAGATCCCTTGGAACTGGAGGGACAGATGGTTGTTAGCTGCCATGTGGGTGCTGGGAATCAAACCCAGGTCCTCTGCAAGAGCAGTCAGTGCTGTTAACCACTGAGCCATCTCTCCAGCCCCTATTTCACTGTTTTATTTCCAAATTTTTCTCAAATTTTTAAGGTACTTGATTCTTTTATATTTATATTGGACTTTGTAATGTATAACCATTTTGCACCTATGGCCTCATGATTTTTACAGTTCTTGAATGTAAGCAATGTCAGCGTATTTATTTTGTAGTAAACAGAAGCATGAAGAAATTAAAAATTAGCCAGAGCCACTGGGCTGGTGAGTGTGATGGAATGGGATCATCTAACATACTTGAGTGCCTAGGTCTGACACCTATCCCAGATCCAGCAGAATACCAGAATAACTGTTCTCTGAGCAGTTGAGTGCATCCTGCCTTCTAGGACAGTGATCTTTTGAATGTACTTTCACTCAGCAGCAGTTACAAAGGACCATCTTACACTGGTTGTCACTGCTGTCATTGCTAAGGCATATCAGCATTGTGTCCCTGTCTTTATGAGGGGTCCATTCTAGAGGGAGGAGACTGCTAAGAGTTAAATATGTAATTGTCAAGTGATGATAGGTGCTACAGGAAAAGTAATGTCAGAGGGTGGACTGGAGCAGATTACTTTTTAATTAAGTAAGATGACCATAAAAAGAAGATGCTGGAGCCAACACCTGAAAAAGCTGAGGGAGTGAACCAGCTAGAACCCCAGAAAGAGCAGAGGAACCAGCAAGTACAACAGTATTTGGCATGTTCAAGGAACAAAGAGCAGAGTAGCCAAAGGAGATGAGCTTGGGAGCATGTGATAATGGTGCCAAGGAGACAGTAGGTGAAGCCCAGACCAAGCAGCCTTTTATTCAGAGGAGATAAAGGCTTGTTTAATCCTCTGCAATATGCTATAGTTTTTCACTCAAGAGCATTTGACCTACTTTGCTACAAGCATCTGACAATTCAGAAATAAAGTATGGTGTCTGCTCCCAAAGTCAAAAGTCTGGATGACTGGAGATAATCATATTGCCAAGGGTAGTGGTCATTCCTGTAATCCCAGCACTCAGGAGGCTGAGGCAGGAGGATCACCATGAGCTAAAGGCCAGCTGGGGCTACCGAATGAAGCCCTATCACAAAACCCCACAAATCTCTGACCAGAAAACTGAACATTTTTGAGAAGAACTTATGAAACCCTAAATAGAGGGGGAGATACTATGTCTGTAGATAAGAGCAGTACCAGTTCTCCCCAAACTGATCAGTGTGTTAGGCTGAATATGAGTTGTTGTTCCTCCCTCTTCCTCCTCCTTCTACTCTTCCCCTCCTTCTCTCCTCTCCCTCCTCTCCCTCCTCTCCCTCCTCTCCCTTCTCCTTCCCGCCCCCGCCCCTTTTGGTTTTAAAAGACAACCAGGTCTCACATAACCCAGGTAACTTGCTATATAGCTGATCCTCCTGCCTCCACCTCACAAGTGCTGGGATTACAAGACCTTTTCTTTCAACCTGAGACAGGGTCTCAGAGTATAGTTCAGGTTTACCTCAAACTCACAGTCCTGCCTCAGTCAGTCTACCTAGGACTATAATAGGCACACACCACTGAGCACAACTACAAAACCTTTTTTTTTTTCTTTTTTTTTTCATGCTGGGGATTGAACCCAGGGTCTCACACATGCTGGGGGAATGCAAAAGGAACAGAGATTTTTGGATGGAAAAATTGTTAGTTGGACTTACAGTACTAGATTATCAATACTTAGTGCAAAGTTAAAGAGTTATTAAAGTAACAGAAATAGTACAAAGAAAGCAGTTAGACTAGTGGAAGAACAGGGTCCAAGAATGGAAAATTATTTTTGCTGTTTCTGGTTTACATTGTTGGTTAGTTGGTTTGTTTGTTTGTTTGTTTGTTTGTAGAGACAGGGTCTTATAGCTCACCTGGCCCTGAACTCACAGCAGTCCTCCTGCCTCAGCCTCCCTAGTGCTGGAATAATCAGTCTCTTGAGCCACCATGCCTGGCTTAGAAAAAAAAAACATGAACCTACTTCCCACTTAAAAAAAAAAAAAAAACTCCCAGAAAATTACAGATCTTAATGTAAAGGTAAAGCAACACTACTTCTGCAAGAGCCAGCTGAGTATCCTCATGACTGCAAAGCACATCCAAACAGAACAAAACATAGTGTTGTGTGTTTTTCAGACAGGCACTCCCTGTAGCCCTAGTTGTTCTGAAATTTGCTGTGTAGACAAGGCTGGCCTCAATCACACAGGGATCTATCTGCCTCTGTCTCTGAGATATGTTTAAGTATGTTAAAGACCTTTAAGTTGGATGTAAGACTCAATGGCGAGCACTTAACATCAAGTCCTGGATTTGCTCTCCAGCACTGCACAAAATAAAAATAAAAATTAAAGACATTTTAAAATTCACCATTAAGAAAAAGGACAAGCCACAGACCAGAATGTATCTGCAATACAACTGATCAGCCCAAACCTTATATCCAGAATAGATTTTTAAAGTATAATTTAAAAAACATGTAAAAGTCTAGGGGCAGGAGAGATGGCTCAGTAGTTAAGAACACTGGCTGTTCTTGCAGAGGAACCAGGTTCAATTTCCAGCACCCATATGGCATCTAACAACTGTCCTTAACTCCAGTTCTAGGGGAATCTGATGCCCTCTTTGGACCTCCATGGGCATTGCATGACATGAGTGCACCTACCTACATGCAGGCAATACACTCATACACATAAAATATTAAAAAAAAATTAAAAACAGTGTAAAAGTCTATAAGAAAAAAGGTAACTCAAAAGACAATAAAAGATCCTAACAGCTACTTCAAAAAAAACAAAACAAAAACCTCCCAATGGCCACAAAGTATAAAGGGACTCATTTTGCTGGGTGTAGTGGCACATGCCTTTAATCCCAGCATTCAGGAGGCAGAGGCAGGTAGATCTGTGAGTTCTACACAGTAAATTCCAGACCAGCTATGAAATACCCAAATGGCTAAAAACAATGTAGAGCCCTTACATATTCTCATGAAAACGTAAAATGATAACTACCATTTTGCAGAATTACTTAGTAAGACTGATTGCTTTATACAAGCATTGTGTCTACCTACCCAACCAAACAACATATGTGGACACTTACATATTTTAAGACTGTCTGTTGCAACAGTCTTCCTAATAGTTAAAAATAAAACTGTGTCAATCAATAGAATAAACACAGTGACACAGTTACACACACTGCACTGTAAGTGAATGAACTGCAGTACCCTGGAACTGCCAGCAACCGAGTACCTTGGAGGCTGTTCTCTTAAGACACACCTTGAGCCACAGGCACAAACTTACACCTGGACATTTTTTAACCTCAAGAACTAGAAAATAAATATTCATTTTTTTTTTAATTTTATTTGTAAGAGTGTATTGCTCGCATGTACGTGACTGCACCCGTGTCGTGCAATGCCTCAGAAGTAAGACGAGGGCTTCAGATTCCCCTGGAACTGGAGTTAAGGACGGTTCGTAGCCGCCATGTGGGTGCTGGGAATCGAACCCGGGTCCCCTGCAAGAGCAGTCAGTGCTCTTAACCACTGGGCCATCTCTCCAGACCCAATATTCATATTTTTTATGTTGACAGGTTGGTTATCCAACAGTAGATAAAACAGCATTGCAGTTAGCTGGGCGTTGTGGCGTAAGCCTTTTAATCCCAGCACTGGGAGGCCAAGGCAAGTGAATCTCTGTGAGATTGAGGCCAGCCTGGTCTACAGTGTGAATTCAAGGTCAGCGGGGCCTACAGGGAGACCCATCTCAAAATAAAAAACCAAACAGCAGCATTGTTGTTTAAGTCTACTTCAGTGCACCATCTTGTCAGTGAAAGATCTCTCACGGTAGGAATGCATACCAGTTGCTGAACTTGTAAGGCTTGTTTGGGGGACTTTGGGTACAGGCATTTCCAGAAGCTTGTGGCAACACTGACTTCCAGCAAGTTCAAAAATGTGACTCACCATTCTATTTTGTCTTTCAGATTTATAACGTTGAGTTTGTCTCTGATAATTGATCGCATTTTTTTTGGCCAAGTGAGTAAAACTACATTAAGCTAACAGCTATTTTTATTTTAACCATTTACTGACCTGAAACCTCAAGTTAGACTTTTAATACAATTGTATTTCAATCTGGGTATGGTGGTGCATACCTGGTATTGTGTCACATGCCTGGTGTGGTTGTGCACACCTGTGATCCCAGCACTGAGGAGATAGAGGCAGGAGGATCAAGTGTTCAAACTTACCCTCAGCCATATAGGGAGTTGGAGGCCAGCTTGGGCTATAAGACACCTTGTCTCAAAACAAATTCATTAATATTTCAGAACAGAGGTAATCTTATCATGAAATGTGATAGATTAAAGGCCTTCCATTGTTTTAAATTCTGCCCTTAAAAGTCACAGCATGTTTGGGAGATTACAAATCTTGTGATCTTGGATAAGTTTCACAACTTTTTTCCTTGATACCTTTTTCTGGAAGTGACTATGGTTCTATCTCTTTAGATTATATGAGGTAGCACATGTACTGTATGTGTAGCAGTTCTGGGTGCGTGTGAGCACTTGTACCTGTCACGAGTGTCACTGCTGTTATTATTGCTTTGTGCTAAAACTGAAATTGTAACACTGGCAGAATTTTACCTTAATAAATAATGACATTGTAAGGCACTAGAATAAAATTGATATGGGAAATATTCAAGCTCTCTAATACATTATTTACTATTACTATTATTATTATTATTATTATTATTATTATTATTTTGGTCTTTTTGAGACAGTCTCCTTGTATCCCCAGCTGGCCTGGAACTCACTAAGTAGACCAGGCTGGCTTTAAACTCGCAGAGATCGCCAGCCTCTGCCTCCCAAGTGCTGGGACTAAAAGTGTGCACCACCATACCTAGCTCTAATACATTATTTTAAAAGCAGGATGTAGTGGTTTATACCCCTAACCCCAGCACTCAGGAGGAGACAGGAAAATCACCTCAAGTTTTAGGCCAGTCTGGTCTACCTAACAAGTTGTTTGCCAGGCAAGGCTACATAGTATCAAATTGTCAAAAAATAACTTAAGGGATCTGATGCCCTTCACTGGCTTCCATGTACGCCTGCACTCACACATACATACACACAGACACATAATTAAAATTTAAAAAAAAATTTTTTTTGGTCTTTTTGAAACAGGGTCCCCCTGTAGTCCCAGCTGGCCTGGAACTCACTATGTAGACCAGGCTGGCCTTGAGCTTATAGAGATCCACCTGCCCCTGCCTCCCAAGTGCTGGGACTATAGGCATGTGGCACCATGACTGGCTAAAAATAAAAATAAATTAAAAAAAATCAATCTCTTAATTGGATATAAAACTAACAGTACCAAAATATGTATGACCGTTCATTCATAAATTTTGAGATTCATCTTAAATATCAAAAACTTGAACCCAGGTTAGATTCACAGCACATGGCAGCTCTGTTGCCCTCTTCCGGTCTTCATGCAGGCACTACACATTTACCAATAAACATACTGGAAATAAAAACCCTTGTGCAAACAAACAAGCAAAAAAAATCATTTAAAAAAAAAAAAACCTGGGGTTGGAGAGATGGCTCAGCAATTAGGGCACTGGCTGCTCTTAGAGAGGACCTGAGTTTGGATCACAGAACCCACACGGTGGCTAACAACCACCCGTAACTCCAGTTCCAGGGGATCCAATGATACATACATGCAGGCAAAACACTCACATAAAATAACAATAAATAAATAATTTTTTTCTTTGTCTTTTTGAGACAGGGTCTCCCTGTAGCTCCAGCTGGCTTGGAACTTGCTATGTAGACCAGGCTGGCCTTGAACTCACAGAGATCCACCTGACTCTGCCTCCTGACTGCTGGGATTAAAGGCATGGACCACCACACCTGGCCATAAGTAAATAATTTTTAAAGACCCATTATTTACAAATTAACAAAGAACACATGAAATAATTTAGAAGAAAAAAATAATTTCATGAATCACTAATCAGAATTACTAATGTAAAACTGCTGCCTGATTTTAAATTCTGATTTAATGTTGCAATTCTGTCAGATTCTCTAATGCTGAAGATCAGAACTTGACACTGACCCACTTGTTTCTTTTTCCTTCACTCATCCCAGTGGACTCTGGTCCAGTTGAACTTCTTGAGATTTAATGTGCTGCAGAATTTGGGAACATTTTATGGCTCCCACCCATGGCACTGGTACTTCAGTCAAGGGTTCCCTGTCGTCCTGGGAACCCACTTACCCTTCTTTATCCATGGCTGCTTCCTAGCCCCTAGGAAGCTCTACATACTACTGCTGACTGTGCTATGGACTCTGCTGGTATACAGGTAAGGAAGGCTTCCTTTGTTCAAGTAGATGAACTTTTAAATGCTACCAAGAAATGATAAGTCTTCAAAAGCAAGCTTTTACTTTAACTCTTAGGATATAGCAGTGGAGATGATTTCAGAAGATAAAAGTCAGTAGTCATGCTGGTATTCAGATGGTGAAAATCAGACCCATTTAAACATCTGTTAACTATAAAATAAAATGAGGGACTGGCTAGATGGGTTAGCAGGTAAACACACCTGTTGCCAAGCCAGAGGACCCCAGTTTGACTCCCAGAATCCACATGGTGGAAAGAGACCTGACTCCCACAAGTTATCCTTTGACCTTCACATGTGCACTGTGGTGTGAATGCTGCCCCCCTCCCCAACACACAAATTCTTAAAGACATTTTTTTAATGACATATCCTCATTCCAAATTTGAGAGATATTAATTGGATTAGTAATAGAATTTTTTTCTAAAACATAATTGTACTTTGTAATTTCACTTTGCCATTAAATATTATGTTTTAACATATCATAATCACATTTTAATTTAGAAAGAGTGATTCCTGAAATAAGAAACTGAATCTGAAGCCAAGCATGGTGGATGATGCTTCTATCCCATCAACATGAGTTGCACAGGCAGGAAAGTAGTTATAAGTGATAGTTATCTCAAAGAGAGAGAGAGAGAAGAGAGAGAGAGAGAGAGAGAGAGAGAGAGAGAGAGAGAGAGAAATTCAATCTCAGATACTTGGAAAAAAATCATTTTAATTATATTCATTTTAAATAATTTCTCAGACTCATGCAATATGATGAAATGTTTTCTCTTAATATCCTTTATTATAGCATGTTGGGCCACAAAGAATTCAGGTTTATCTATCCAGTTTTACCACTTTGTATGGTGTTCTGTGGTAAGTGTTTTTAATACAAAAAAAAAAATGTGATAGAAATAGTTTTAAAAAGCCAGGCATGGTAGCGTTGCCTGTCATCCTAGCACTTGGGAGGCAGAATCTGGAGGAACACCCACAAGTTTCAGGCCAACCTGGCTATATAGCTGGATTTCTCAAAAAGCAGTAATTTTTTAGAAAGTTAAGAGACTATAAATGCCCAATAAATTATTTCCAAGTAGACTGAAGAGCTGCCTCTTAATTACACATTCTGTTAGTACAGTATTTTCTTTTTGTGATTTAAGTATCTTTTGGGGGTATTTATTTGATTTTTGAGAAAGGGTCTCACTTTGTAGCCCAGGCTGCCCTACACCTCACAGACTGGCTGAAATTAAGTAGCCTAGGCAGCCCTCCTGTGCCTCCCAAGTACTGGAATTACAGGTGTGAGCAACCATGCCCAGCTTCTAAATAAGTATATTTTCCTCATATCAAATAAAATGACAACATAAGGGGGCTGGAGAGATGGCTCGGTGGTTAAGAGCACTGGTTGCTCTTACAGAGGACCCAAGTTCAATTCCCAGCACCCACATGGTGGTTAACAACCATCTTAACTCCAGTTCCAGGGGAACTAATATCCTCCTCTGACCTCTTCAGGCATTGCATGACATGGGTGCACTAGCATACATGCAAGCAATACACTCATCATACACATAAAATAAAAAATAATAAATATTAAAATGACAACATAAGGATCCACTAGGCAGGCAGTGTACTTTTTTATGGGGTAGGGGGTAAGTCGGGGTCTTGCCCTGTAGCTCTGGCTGCCCTGGAACTTGCTATATAGACCAGGACAATCTCAGACTTGTAGCAATACTCCTGCCTCTGCCTCTTAAGTGCTGGGATTACAGCAAGCCCAAGCCACTTTTTGGGGAGAGGAGAGGTGGTTGTTAGTGGAGTTGCTGGAACCCAGACCTTTGCACATTTTGGGGCAAGTGCTCTCTACCACTGAGCTATACCCTGTCTCTAAATTACTCTTTGGTGGTACTATTTCTGACTTCAGTCTGTCACTAAAAAAAGGAGACATCTTTGGAATAGGTATTTGAAGTGTACAGCTAAAATGTGGGTCTTCATTTTCACACAGTATGTATTTATAGCTGCTGAGACTAGTTTTAATACTTTTTTTTTTTTTTTTGGTCTTTTTGAGACAGGGTCTCCCTGTAGCCCCAGCTGGCCTGGAACTCACTATGTAGACCAGGCTGGCCTTGAAATCACAGAGATCCGCCTGCCTCTGCCTCCCAAGTGCTGGGACTACAGGTGTGTGCCACCACACCTGGCTTAGTTTTAATACTTTTATACAGAAAAGCTTTACCTTTTTATTTTATGAAAAGTAGAGACAGGAGAATTGGGAGTCCAGGGCCAGCCTAGGCTACATGAAACCCTAGCTCAAACCATCAAAAACAAACAAACAACTCACTCTAATGTGTATTGAACTTTAAAAGTCATTCTCTCTTGTAATTTCCTTTTTAAAAAATCCTTCAAATTTTCAAATTTTAAACCTTAAAAGAAGAGGAGGAGCTGGAGAGATGGTTCAGCAGTTAAGAGCACTGGCTATTCTTGCATAAGACTCAGGTTCAAATCCCAGAACCCACATGACAGCTAACAACCATCTGTAACTCTAGTTCCTGGAGATTCAACGAACTCTTCTGTCCTTCTTGGGCACTACATGACACAGGTGCACTCACACACAGGCATAACACTCATACATATAAAATAAAAATAAATGAAAAAAAATTTTAACCTTAAAAAAACAAAAGTTGGGGGAGGAAGGAAATGAGTAACCAACTGGGACAGAAGAGTGAAATTCATTCTTTGTGGGACAGGGTCTCTCTATGTAATCCTGGTTGGTCTGGAATTTCCTATGTAGACCAGTCTGGCCTTGAACTCTCAGGAGATATGCCTGCTTCTGCAGTAAGCTCAAGACCAGGTCAGTTGTAGTAACACATGTCTGTACTACCAGAACTTTGGAGGCAGAAGCAAGAAGACTGCTAGTTGAGACCAGCCTGGGTTACAGTCACAGCAAAACCCTGTCTCAAGAAAACTAAAAGAAAAATTTAAGTAAACAGAAAACTCCAGAGCAATAGTCCCAACCCCAGACATGCTGGCAAATTCCTGTAATCCCTACACTTGGGAGATGGGAGGCAGAAGGACTACAAGTTCCAAACCAACCTAGAGACCCTCTCAAAAATAAAAGGTCTCTCTCATATCCTTCCCAGTCCTCTTCCCTAAAAGGGATTGCTTCAACTTACAGATCTTGCAAAGTGCCCAGGCTGGCCTCAAAGAATCCTCCTGATTTAGCCTCCTAATTAGCTAGGATTACTGGCACATGCTACCTTGCACAAATAAATACTTTTTTTTTTTTCCTTTTTTGGTCTTTTTGAGACAGGGTCTCCCCTGTAGCCCCCAGCTGTCCTGGAACTCAGAGACCTGCCTCTGCCTCTGCCTCCCAAGTGGTGGGATCAAAGGTGTGCACCACCACGCCCGGCATAAATACTCTTTTATTGCATTATTTGGTATTTATTTTGGTATCTAATGTTTACAGTTCTACTTAAAGACTTGTTTTAGGCATTATGTATTGATGTTATTGTGACAGATGAAAATACAGCTGTTTCCTGTAGAGTAATAACCAGAACTTCCTGATACCGCTGCCTGTGGTCAGTAACCTATGGTTAAGACAGTGCTTTAGCCTCATTCTTTCCCAGACCTGTTCTCCAGTTAAGTCCCATTCCAAAATTGAATTGCTCCTTTTCACATGTAAACACTGAAATTAAACAGAGTTAACAGTTTTCCCAGAAATTAAAAAA